ACCCTAAAGGGTTTCCAAGGCTATAAGTATATTATAGAAGCAGACTGCTTATCTTTCTCCCACAGAGTGGCTGGGGTATTTGAACTGCTGACCTTTTGGTTAGCAACCAAATACTTTAGCCACTACACCACCAGACCTTCTTTTGCTTGAACTATATAGTCTAGTTGGGAGCTCTGGTAGTGTAGTGCCTAAGGCAGTTGACTGTTAACCAGAAGGCTGGCGGTTCAAACCCATCAGCCACTCCTCAGAAGGAAGGTTGGGCAATCTACTTCTGTCGTGATGCCTCGGAAACCCAAGGAGGGGTCACTATGAGTCGGGACCGACTCGATGGCACATAACAACAACAGCAACAACATAGTTTAGTTTAATGCCAAACTCCACCATGTTTATGCGTAGAATATTTACATGCTGGGTAAAATTCCCTCAGCAAAGATTGGGTTGATAACAATATTTTTAAAAATATTACCATGTTTTATTGAAATAGGAAAATGATTGTGGAACAAAACTCATCATTACAAAAAAGACCAGGCTTTTACTGGTCTGGTGAAGACTGGTGGAACCCCCAGGATTATGGTCCTTAAATACTTTTCAAGTGGGGAACTGAGCTCAATGTCTGTGGCTCAACTTTCAGCCAAACTATAGGCTTGTAAAGTGAGCAGTAATACTAGGAAGGTATGCACTGATTAGAACAATCAGCCCTAAGAGATCAGGGAGGCAGCATTTGCCTTAGGATAGAGCTGGGAAGGTGGGAGGGGATGGGAAGGGAAGTGGTGGGCTTGGGGAGGAGGAGGGAAGAGTGCTGTGGAGTTGTGGGATAGCAGTGAGTGTCACAAAAGGGAATGTATCTGTATGGTTGAATGGAAAACCAGTTTGCTCTGTGGGAAAAAAAAAATAAAAGGAAGAAAGAAATGACAATGATTGTTTTTCCACAGGCTGGTACCGAGGATTTGCCTTAAAAAACCCAAATATCAAGGTAAAAATTATTACTTCTAATCATAATTATGTAACTTTTTAAAAGATAGTTTTTAACAATTTTTTTTTTTTTACTTTATTTCATTATACAATTGAGATTACAGAGAGTAGTCTAGTTGAAATGTCATGTCTGATACAGATATTCATAATTTTGGAAATTACTTTGAACATGGATTGTAGGTAAAATATGCAACTCAAGTGATAATCCTGTGTGTCTCTTGAAAATTGTACTGGGAAGATCTTAATAAGCTCATTATATCTAAACAAAATCTTCCTGCAAGGGTTGGTTTCTCAGGGAGCTAGATTAAAATCCAGGCAAGGGAAATGTACATTCCAAAGCAAACACTGAGTCGAGGTATTAAAGTTTTCTGTGTTATCATTTGTGAGATATTAGTGTGGAGAAATAAGTTTATTTTAGCGACACATTAAAGTCCCTCTGGGGTTGGGATCTGGAGTCAGGGAAAACCAATTATAAAAAGCCCATTTTTCTTACGATTCCAGGCAGAAACTAAGATTTATTATTCTTTATATCTTTATGTAAACCTCAGAAATTATAGTAAGAAGTAATGCGACTTCTGTTGTAGCCTTTCATTGCGTGGCTTGTGATTTTGATACAATCCTGAGTAATACTTACGTTTTTCTGCTTTATTCTAATCTCCCTAGTTCTTATCCATGCTTTCCTCATCCTTGGACATTTTCTTATATATCTTGTATATTATTTTGTTTAATTCTAGCTTCATTAGTATTATAGATCAAAAAGCATATTATTTCTCGTTTTTAAAATACAATGTGAGTAAGCTAAATCTTTTGCCAATCTTTTTTGTTAAATACACCTCCTTCTGCATCATCCAACTATGTTGAATTAGTTCATTTTATTCATTTTAGTTGAGGCTGAAGCACACAAGAATATACAAATTTAATTGTTTTTATACTTTAGCCCTCACTTAAAATTGTTTCTGGGCATCTGCAAGGCAACACAAATATAGCTTAGGTATTTTAATTATTCATTTAGAACATGTTTTCTTGAGGGAGGTATAATCTATTATGACTTCTGTTATTTTCTCTGTCTTTAACAATTAAACCTCAAGTTCTGACCTTTTCTTATTAATTAAGATTACTCTCTTTGTTAATCCTAGCATATTGAGATAAATTTAAATTTTGAAAGAAAAAAAAATGAATTGTTTATCTCTATATTATTGTTGAGTATATATAATTTGCATATTAAATTTTATTTTATACTTGGATCCATAGTGGTGATAATGTATTCAAATGACATTTGTTTTCCAATATTTAATTGCATTTGTCATTTGATTATACATCAAAAATCCTTCAGAGGATATTGTCACTTAATGGGTAATAAAATTGATGCTCCTTTCAGTGTCTCTTTCAGTCTCCCATTTAGAACAAAGGAACAATTTCCTCTCTATAATTTCCCTACCACAAAAGACTTTAAACTAGCCTGGCTTCTTTTGTGTAATTTTTGTTCCATTTGAATGATAGCGTAGTGATTAATTACTGCTGTGTTTTTATCAAAGATCTTCCATAACACTTAATATGTACATTGCCTCCACATTTACAGCAAGTTATTTTTTGGTGCATGTTACAAAATATAAACAGGGATGTTTCGAGAAGAAAAAGAACAACAACTAAAAAAATAAATAAAAAAGCTGTCTTTCAAAAATATTCAGTATTTTGAGAAATACTCAATATAACAATATTTTGTGGAGAATTTCTGAAAATGTTTTATTTTCAGTTTTATGAAGAATATACTTTCATAATGAGATCTGATTTTTGTTCAATTATATTATTTTAGAATATTTTTGAATTTGTAAACTAATGAAAACTAAAAAGGAGAGACCTAACCTACAGAATGAGTAGAGATGTTTTTCCTATTTCTCGTATTATAGCTCTGTGGCTGTGTTTTATGCATATGACTTAAGAAGCTAAGCCTGCCTTAACAGACAGCTATCCCCATAATCTTTTGTTTTCCCTTCCAGGGTATATTTCCTTCCAGCTATGTTCACTTGAAAAATGCCTGTGTAAAGAACAAAGGGTAAGAAATGAATTTTATTAATAGTTGAAGGATTATCACAAGACCATTGCTTATTTTGGAGTTTGAAAGACTTAGCAGTTGTCTTGAAAAATGAACTATAGAAGATCATACCATTGCCTGGGTTGTTTGGTAAAGATATATGGCACTAAGGCAGTTGATGGAGAGAATTAAAGGACCATTTGTGCACTGGACACAGCAGGATCTAGGGCACTGAGGTCTCTTGTCCACAGATCATGAAAACAACCTCACCTTAAGCAGGAGTTTTTTGTTTCTTGCTACTTAAGGACGCATGGCTGTCAGACCATTAGGTGCTAAGTCATATAGTCTCAAAACCCAGGAATTTCCTAGATTGACCACTGATTAGAAGAAGCCAAGCCTGAGTTCTTTTCTCTAAATGGGCATAATCACATATCCTTGGCGTGTGACCGCTTCACAAGGCCATCATTCTACTTCAGGGATTAATTGATATGATAGTTCGTTTAGTTGAGCTCACTGGTTATCTAGGATTTCTTACAGATTTCTGAGATTTTTCTAATCTATTTCCAAAAGGACTCAAAGTAGCTATCATCCAAAAAGATACCATAAGTTAAAATAGTAGAACTTGCTGATTACATGATTGACATGAGCCAATCATTTATTATAAATGGACCACAGATTCAGACATAAACATTTGATGCCATTGTCTCGAGGGATGTGTGTTGGATCATTGCATAATTTTCATTTTATGACAGGAATATTGACTCAGCCTTAGAAGCCTTAGAAATACATTTTTTCCCTTAAATAGCAATTTATTATTTGAATTCTTTTTGTTTTTAACTTGATATAATGAAAACTAATAGTTCAGCCTGTCCACCCATCTATCCACCCATATACCCATGTTTGCTTTCACTGACAATTCAGTACTGTATGTGCAAAAGTTTTCATCTTTGTTGTCTGTACCTTCCATGTACCTTTCTATGTCTTTCTCTTCCTCAAAGCCACCATGTTGATCACTCACGTTTGGTACACTGCCCTTCTCTTCACCCAAATCAATACTTATGTCTACCTATTTAACAGGTAATTCTTAAGACTAATTTTAAAGGATAGTAAAATCTCTTCAGATTTGAATTTTACTGGAAAAGTTGAAGGACATTATTCAAATGGCTGATTCTTGTATCTCTTCTTGATAAAGATAGAGTATTAACTAAGTTCAGTGGAAAAACTTCTACGGGTGGCTGAGAATCTGGTATAAATACTTTGAGTCTTTACTTTATGAATAGGAACTCTGGTGGTGTAGGGCCTAAGGCATTTGACTGCCAACCAGAAGGTTGGAGGTTCAAACCCACCAGCCACTCCTCGGAAGGAAGGTTGGGCAATCTACTTCCATAGCGATACCGCCTTGGAAACCCAAGGAGGGGTCACTATGAGTTGGATGTGACTATACGACAGTGAGTTGGGTTTTGTTTTTCTGGTCACTTTATGAATAGAACTAACTTGAAGAATCTTGGAGTTTATTATACTTTGTCTTATATATATATAAGTCAGTTCAAGCAATATTGTTTTTATTATTTTTGTTATTTGCTGTCGAGTTGGATGCGACTCATAGCGACCCCTCCTTGGGTTTCCAAGGCGTTATCACTACAGAAGTAGATTGCCCAACCTTCCTTCCGACGAGCAGCTGGTGGATTTGAACCACCAGCCTTCTATTGGTATTAATTATTTCAAACAGTGATATTTAATTTTAATGCTATTAATTATGATTGCTAATACTATTACTAATAATAACAAGGGCCTCTTACTGGGGCTTCAAGTCCCTGTGTGGTGCAAATGGTTAAGCAGTTGACTACCAGCAGAAGACTTGGTGGATCGCACATACTCAGAGATGCCTTGTAAGGAGGGCCTGGCAGTCTACTCTCGAAAGGTCACAACCTTGAAAACATGCACACGTGGAGTCCTCATGAGTCAGAATCAACTAGATAGCAACTGGTTTGTTTTTATGTTTGTTTTACTGGAGCTTTACAGACCTTTTCTCTGATCTTCATAACAATCCCATAGAGTAGCTACTAACAAATGGGAAGTGTCTACACATGGGAAAACCGGTGCTTTGAGGGTTTAAGTAACTTATCAAAGAACACCCAGTTCAGCAACAATAGAACCACAGGACAAACCGCCCCTTCTTTTTCCATTGTGAATTTTTTAGGTAACTGTATGTTCTTCAGAAATACTATGCAGCTATATCTAGCAAAAGTGAGCTGAGCACAGTTGTCACTCCTCTTAGAGTTCTCCCACTGGGTGGGCTTGATGCTTTCCGGCTTCCCTCAGGTAAACTAGAGAACATTCCAAAAGACACTTCAGCCGAACACGAAGTCTTTGTCCTGACCTTTCCATCCCAGGTAATGTGGGAACTCAAGGGTCTTTATCCCCGTCCCTTAAAGTGTTGACCTGGGCAGGCCCATGCAGCCTAGACCTCTTTGCTTCCTTTGCCCTGAACTCAATGCTCACCCCCTCAATTCTCCAGAGCAAAGGGCTATCCAGCCCCCATGTTGCTCTCCAGCTGAAGAGAGGATGGAATTGTAGCAAAGATGATTTCAAGCATCGTTGCAGCCACTGGAAGTTTTACCTTGTCTAAGTTTCTTAGTGCTGCTCTAACAGAAATACCACAAGTGAGTGGCTTTAACAAGCAGAAATTCATTTTCTCACAGTTTAGGAGGCCTCTTGTTTTGTGCCGTCGAGTCAATGTCAATTCACGTTAACCCTGTGGGACAAGGTAGAACTGCCCCACAGGTTTTCCTAGGTTGTGTTGTTTATGGGAGCAGATTGCCAGGTCTTTTCTTCTGGTGGGTTTGAACTGCCGACCTTTTAGGTAGCAGCCAAGCATTTAACAATGGACCACCAGGACTCTTTTTTAATAGGATAGAAGCCCAAATTCATTGCATTAGCTCAAAAAGCTCTTTCTCTCTCTTAGAAGGGTTAAGTGGAAAATAAACTTTAGCCTAAAACCATTTGAAGGCCCATACTCTAGGTGATTGTTACATGGATGAACCTTGAAAACATTATACTCAATGAAACTGTCGTTATGTGCCGTCAAGTTGGACCTGACTCATAGCGACCCCTCCTTGGGTTTCCGAAGCGGTATCCCTATGAAAGTAGATTGCCCAGTCTTCCTTCTGAGGAGTGGCTGGTGGGTTTGAACCATCAGCCTTCTAGTTAGCAGTCAAGTGCCTTGGGCACTACACTACCAGAGCTCCTTCAATGAAATTAGTCAGAGCAAAAGGATAAATACTGTATGATCCCACTTATCTGAACTATCTAGAATAGGCAAATATAAACAGACAAAGGTTACTAGTTATTATTAGTGTTTATCCAGGGCTGGGAAAATAGGGCGTTATTTCTTAAGGGGTATTTCTTCAGGGGCCTTGGTGGCACAGATGGTTAAGCACTCATCCACTAAGCAAAAGAAAGGTTGATGTGTGAACCCACCCAGTGGCTCTGTGGAAGAAGACCTAATGATCTGCTTCCATAAAGATTACAGCCACGAAAAATCTGTGGGGCAGTTAGTTTTACCCTGTCACGTGGGGTTGCTATGAGTCCGAATCTACTTCCAGGTACCCAGCAACACTGACTGCATTGCCAGGTGATTACTTTGCCAGAGAAGAAGCTCTTTGGAACCTGGGTATTACATGCCTCACATTAAGTGGATTAGCAGCCTGATGACTAGCCTACCAGGGTGAAGTAGGTGCTAAGTGCATCCCAGATGATCTGAATAAAATAGGACTTCAGGAGCAGCTACTTAAAACAGACTGTTGGAATGCTGGTTTTGGTTTTGATATGGTTAATAGAAAACAGTTGGCTTGCTTAAAATGGCAATTTTGTTCTTCCTAAAAGCTTACATCTTTATTGGAAAAAAACCAAATCAACTTCCCAGGCATGGAATTGTCATTATGTTTTTTTTTCCCCCTGGTTCTTTGGAGCAAGTAGGGCTGATGGGGTCTTTAAATTATAGTTTGTGAACAATGAGACCACTTCTGTAGTGTTTAATTCCTCCTGAGGTTTAAATGTTAAGTAGGATGTTTAGTTTCCCTGGAAATTCCTTACTCTCTCCTTGACCTTGCTTAGGATTATGTTATTATCTCCATCTCCAAATGTTCATCATTTAAATTGCAACAGCTACTTTAAAAAGAGCATAAACTTACTATGATTTGAAGATGTCATATGTAGACTTATTAAAAGGTTCTATGTCATAATTCATACATTACTATTTACATGTATTTCTAGTTTTAAATCTCAGTTTCCTATTTTCATCTGTGTTTAAGCTCTGGAAAGAAGGAAAATACTCACAGCAGTCATTTTTGCAGTAGTATGAAATGAGGAGACAAAGCTCCTTTGGTGAAGAAATTAAGGGAAGATTTTAGTTCTTAAACTTACAGCCAAGACACTTTACAGATGATGATGATACACACTTCAGACATAACATCAAAAAGGAACTACCGAGCAATTATTAGCCTCATGTTAAGACATAATTTTCCCTTGATCATCTGAATGACCTGGTTCAGTGTCTCATATGGTATTACCTTCTCCATATTAGATGTTGTTCTTGAGAAAAATACACTCAAGGAAAGTAACTCCTGTCAATATAGTTGGTGACAATTCTTTGAGGAGCAAGGGTAATAGAAACCACTTAATTACCTTAATTTGCAAATAATAATAATAATAATTATTATTTTTTAAAAAAATCAGAGATAAAAGACATTATGGATGTCAAAAGATAGGCCAGGATAAGATAGCCAAACATAAGCTATTGTTCTTAGATGCTGCTGAGATGTTATCAACTCAGTGAACCCCATTGGACAGAATAGAACTACCCCAAAAGGTTTTCTAGGCTGTGATCCTTACAGGAGCAGTTGCCAGGTTTTTCCCCTGCGGAGCTGCTGGGTAGGTGCTAAAGGGGCAGGGAGACCTATTCCTCTGACTTCCTCTAGCCCTACAAGAATAAACCAAAAACCAAACTCACTGCTGTTGAG